TCACTACCCTTATTGTAAAAAACTTCTACCTTATATCCTATTTATATCTCCCCTCTTTTAGTTCAAAATCACATCCCCTTGCCCTAGCACAACTGGCCCTGTCCCCTTCCTTCTTACAGATCCCCTGTAGACACTGAAGGACTGCTTCAGGTCTCCCAGAAGCTCTCTATTCTCCAGGCTGAACAGTCCCAGCTCTCTTTTGCTGTCTTTGTAGGGGAGGTGTTCCATCCCTTTTATGTCTTAGTGCTAGCTTCTTTTTGCACAAGAGTATTTAAATTATTTATAAACTAAAACTCAATCATAAACTAGATAGAAAAGAGGAGAAAGGTGTTAGCTGCATCTATTTCCTGAAGGAAAACTTTCTACCTGTCATAGACCTCCACTTTAGGATGAGAAGCAAATCCTCCAGAGGGGATTATTTCTCTACATAAGCCATTGAAAAGGTTCAGATATCTACCTTGAAGGTGCCAAATTTCCAGAGACCAGCAGCTGCTCATGAATAACTCCATCTCCCTGAGCACCCCTAACCTTGCCTTCATCCTATGTAGCCCTCAGCACAGCCACATGAGTGAGTGATCTTGCTCCCATATATTCAGGAGGAGCATTTTGTTATCATTTCCTCCTCCTGTTTCTAGTTTTCATCTTTCTGGCTTACACTTTCCTTAGTCCTACCAGCTAACTTCTGCATAGAGATTTATCTCACTGTAATGCAACCAAATAAATTAGCATCCCAAAGAACTTTCTATCAAAGCCTGCAAGCCTAGAGGCACAGGAAAATTGGTATTGCTGCAGAAGACAATTATTTGGTTTAAGTAGGATAAAGATTCTATAGGGATTTCACTTTAGCTTAAAATTTGCAGGGGTGTTATATCTATAAATCAGGAGGAAAGTGAAAAGCCTCAGATGGTCCAATTTACTGACATTTTTTCCTCCACATTTATGTTAAATATGCATGCATATATCTAATAGCAAACAGGGGTTTTTACTGTTGGATTTGTTTATGCTGTGATAGCGTCTAAAAAGAGTGCTGGAAGCTTTCCAAACTCAGTTTCAACAAGTTTCAGTACTACTTTAAAAAGTGTACAGTACCTATATGTGTTTCAGGAAAGTATCACATTAGGAAAAAATTTCATTAAAGGACCAGACACTGTCCTGACTTTGAGCAAATACAGGAATCTGGTTCGTAATCAAGCTTTTGGAAAAGCAATTAATGATTGCAGGTGCTTCGGGTATTAGGTACTCAGCTTGAAACACCTTTAAGAAGGCTGCATTTTGGAATGTGCTCTGCTCTGAATGCTGTTAATGGCTTTAAAAAATCTTGGCTTTTCCAGTGTTCTCAGATGAGAACTGAATTTTAAATTTCCACAGATGGATTTATTTCATCAGCCTGTTAGGTTTTTCTTATCTGCCGCAATGCTATTGCTTGGTTTGCATTCTTATGGGAACCAGGGCTAAAAGGACATTCCTAAAATGTTATATGTTTTGTTTTAAGCATTTATTAAACTGAATAGTAATACCATCAACATCCAAACGTGGATCCTTTCGGTTAAAATTCAAGCTGAAATGCAAATGTCACTTTGCCCACTTGATAGGGGTTTGAGTGTATTCACATTGCCTTTAAACCATCAATTTTCCAGCCAACAAAAACCATCCTTGACAGATCCATGGTCCGTTCCAGCAGGGCAGATCTGTCTAATTCCCATGTTGGCATCAGAATTGTATCTCTCCTATAGAATTAACCACTCAATCATCAAATAATGGACTGCTACACAATGCATTTGACTACTGACATTTTTAGGCATGTGCCTTTTATTCCCAAGCAAACCTAATTATACTCCGCTGTACTTTCTCAAGATTCACAGTATGATTTTGTTCTTCTAAGCACAGTGCTCTAAAAAAGTCTGACCCAAACTTTATGAAAATCTCATCATAATTTACAAAGACTTCTAGCTGCCTATATTTTGTTCTGACAGTAAAGCATACATTTTTGCATTCATTTGCCATCACTTCCTGACAGTAAGATAAAGAAATCCACTCAGGAGTTTACATAAAATGAACTTGGATTTTCAAGTCTAAAATTAACTTCTCAGATTGATTTCTACCTCCCTCACACTCACCCTTTGAACAGAATGCACCAAAAGCTGTAATATCTGTACATAAAATTGTCAATTTATAGAACTGTTATGTGTACAACAAAAAAACAATGAAAAATCCTATAAGTCTAGCCTTTCCCTAGGCTTTTTGTGAATACCTTCTGAATACAGAATTTTGTTCCACTTGGTTTCATTGTGGGTTCTTGATATCATTTTTTTATGTCTTGTCCTGTATACTGTGTTGTGGTTTAACCCATCAGGCAGCTCATTCCCTGATCCCAGTGAGATGGAGAGAGAATTGGGAAAGAAAAGAACTCATAAAGTGGAATTCATAGGCTGAGATAAAAGCTATTTTCTAAGACAGAAAGGAAAGAGGAAAAAAAAATAAGAGTAATGATAATGTATATAAAATACAATTATACATATTTAAATATTTGACTGCTCCAAAAGTAATGATTTCTATTTTGTTCCACTGGCCAGCAACATCAGAGGTGGATGCTGGTGGTGTGGCAGTAGAGGCTGAACCTTCCCACCAACATTCTTCCACTATGTTTTGTTGCCCTGCGACAGATGGCAGCAGAGGCACAGTCTGACAGAATGGTATCTGACATGGAAGTGTGCATGAAGCAAAGGTTTGTCACTGAGCTTCTCCTTGCAGAAAAAGAAAGCACCCATTGGCATTCCCTGGTGCTCTCTGAATGACTAAAGAACTGAGGATGTGAGCACAGTGACTATATTGAAAAATAGTGATGGAGATGAGGAATTTCTTGGGGATTTAGCACAACATAGACCCTTTGCATTGTATTTTCTGGATTTCTTCTTTCTCCTGATCTATACTTTGTTTTTACATTAGCACTAATGCTGTCTATAGAGCTTTCAGGTGATTCTGTAAGTATCTCAAGTAATTTGGGGTAGAAAGACCAATTTATTTATGTTAATGACTTTTTTGTTTGTTTTCAGAATGGTACTGGTTGAAACTCAGCTAGGGTTGTGACCACCTTGGATCTCAAGTGGTGTTGACAAGCTCATTCTTAGTGTTCAGACTTATTTCTAGCTGTAGGTTTTTGTATGGCTGTGAAGTCAGCCTGTCTGTGACCAGCTGTGTAAATCCACTTGGTGTAGATGCAGGCATCTCCCTTGGGTAGCATTGTAGCCATGACAACACAAAGATCAGTGTCCACTGCCCACTGTGCATCTCTCTGTCTTCTCAACTCCCTTGGGGTGAGATCAACTAAAGGGGATAAATGCCTTTCTTCTGTATGTTTTATTTTGAATATTTGACTTTACAGTAAGCGTTGTCTCAAACATGACTTTTCTGGATTTTTGTGCTTTTATAACAATGAATAGCAAACTGCATATATACAGCTCCACAGAGTTCATGCAGGACTGTTTCTATCCAACTCTGTGGGTTTTCTCCTACCCTAGCACAAAATCTAGCACGGGTATCTCCAGCATACAAGAGCCTCTCCAATTCTGAATCACCACTTCTAAGTGCCTCTCTCTCCCACATGAGTAGATATTTAGCTCTGTGGTAGATTGTCGCTGTCTTATATTTGCTAGCTGGAATGAATCTGCCAGTCCTTGCAGGATGAGGCAACCCTCTTGCTCCTCACCAAGCACATGGTTGTCATCTTCTTGTAGCACTTCGGTCTTCATTGCACAGAGTGGGAATGTGTAAAGAGACCTCAGTACTGCACTGAATGCCTCTGAGTCCTTTCAGGTTTTTTCAGTGTTGGCAACTACTTGCATTGAAAAACTCATGATCCATGCCTCAAAACTGAATAGTACCTCTTCTCAATGGTGAATTGTGCCACATGCCTGTACAACTTCTCAAAACTAGTAGAGAGAAGTATCACTTCTCTGGGCATTTGCAGTGAGGAGGTTATTCATGCAGTAAGATTGTCTCCTAGCAATTATAGAGGGATCCTACCTTCAGGGATACTTGTGAAAAATGAGAGGCTGCATCTGGATCTCTCTATCAACCTGGTAGCTGCTTAGGATCTACCTCCTACCCTGCAGTGTTGCAGCCCCATCAACACGGAAAAGGTCACTCCTCACTTCAGTCCTTCTCTTTTTATCTTCTTCCCACTTCATGCTCTGGCTTTCCTGCTTTATAACTGATTTTCCTTTTATTCCATTTTTACTGCAGACTCAGCCCTTCTTTTGGCTGCAGCCAGAGGAAAACCCTTACAGAGACTGTCAAAGACATTTGACACTCTGCAACATAAAGGGCAATGTCTGGGAAGGGCATAGCAATGCAATACAGACTTAGGATGTCAGATAACATTATCAAAAGGTGAAGTTTAACATAATTCTTAGTATATGATTTATCTTTCAAAGCAAGCTTAGCTCTGTACTTCACTCTGTGATCAACCAAATGTTTTACTGCCTGCAGTGTTTTTAGCTAATCAGTCTCTGTTATTTCCCCTTTTCGTTCTACTCTGGCTCTCAGTTTTATCAGAATGATTTAGACTCAAAAAAGTAGATAAAGTGGTTTAACACTTGATAAGTATTACCATTTTTCCCCTTACTGTTGTATGCTAACTCCTGTATTCATCAGTACCAGGACCTTACCAGATCAAACTTAATTTCACCTTCTTTTCTAGTCAGATGTTTGGTGCATTTGAGAGATCTTGAGTCTCTATGAATTTTGATCATGAGTTAGATAACTAACCTTGTTATTAAAACTCATTGGTTTTGATGTTTTTTACCTTGATTCTTGCATGGGAACTGCTGTATCATGGCCTGAACCTCTGATTGATCACCTGAGATGAGCAATGAGTCAGCCACAGGAGTACAGGTGAAGACAATTTACCTGTACTGCTGGAAGGGGTGGAGCCTGGCTGCACCTCTTCTAAACCCATTTAAGAGCTGACTAACAGTAGAGAAGGATCTCTTTCTGGAGATCCCTCCTTTGGGGTTTTACAGTGAGCCCAGGACAGAGGTAAGCACTCTACCTATTCTTGCTTTGGTACAATAGCTTGCTTAGCTAAACTCTCTTGTTTATTTTGTAATTATAGCATAATTATAACATCTGTATATTTGGTTATACAATTCTATTTTGTAAAAACAATTAAAAGAGGCAGATTTTTTTAATAGTTAGGTACCCACTCCTACATTTAGCAGTCAATTAGAATGATTTCACCTGATTTCAGAGGTATTGAAAAAATTAATATTATAGTGCTGCTTCTGAATCTTTTAGTATGTTCGTAACAACCAAACTCCATGTGATGTTAGGATGGATGAACTGGGGTTCCTTATTTCTCCTGACTAAATCCGTACTTAATCAACTTGAATAACATCTGTTTGTTTTTTTTAAATGCTTTGCCAGGGAATTATCAATAAACTCATGAAAATTAAAAGGTTTTTTTCTATTATGATCATACTATATAATTATTTTTATCATCCCAAGCCTCATTGTAATTGCCAAAACTATACTTGTCCATTGCATCTGTGTTTCTGAATGCATTTCATGGAGAGCTGGAATGCATTTCCAAAACATCCTCTAAGGATATCCTGTCTTATCAAGTATTTCAATTGAGTCATGGTAATTTTTTTTGCCAAGAATGTGTATATATATCAAGGCATTATGTTTTCTTAATCTTTTGGAGAAGTTAAAGGATTGTTTAAGTTAGAATGGACCTATATAGGACATCTGGTCCAACCCCTCTTCAATGAACAGAAATGCACAGCTCCATCAGGTGGGCAGAGCCCTGTCCAGAGTGACCTTGAGTATCTCCACGGATGGGGCATCCACCACCTCTCTGGGCAACCTGTTTCATTGCCTCATTGAGTGATCCAGTTCAAAGTTGCTTATCCACTTCCACCTTCTTTTGATATCCTGACAACTAAAACATAGAAGAGGGAAATTACAGCCATTTTTATATCTGCCCAGTTCATAGGTCTTGTTAATGATTTTTCAGTATAGTCCTTGTGCAAAGAATGTATACCAGAACCCCTTTTCTCTCTCTCTTTTTCAGCCTATTCCAAATCTTCTCACTGCTCTCAGGACTTTCAAGATAGGCAATATGGAACATTTACTTGCCACTCTGCAGCATTTTTTTCCTTCAGAAAAGGAAAAAGAAAACATGCAAGGAAAAAAAGATCAGTTGTGCCTTTCAGTTTTAATCTTGTTCGATTTTCTTTGCCATGAATTGCAAGTAGATAAAAGGTACTTCCACTTTCCTGATGTCTTTACATGCCTAGGGACTTCTGTGACCCACTGTCTGTACATTTGCTATTAGCTGTGGTTAGAAAATCAGTAGCAGGTTTTGCATTAAATAGAACACACCACAAATATATTTTGTTTGAGGGAAGGTCAAGAAACTCCAGGCAAGCATGGAGACATCTATCACTGTTGCTCTGCCTGTCCAGCCCAGTAAATTAAGAGCCCAAACTCTGGTCATGGAATGTAAACACTTGCATTATCAGAGCTTTTATGTGCGGTGTTTTGTTCTTAAGATACTATGTTTGTGGCTCTTGTAAATGCCCTTTGTTTCTTGGGAGAGCTGACTCATACTGGTCAGTGAAGGTCCTCGAGGAGCCATTCATTTACTCAAAGAGCCTTCTTTGAGTCTCATGTCCTCACATCTTTCTGTCACATCCAGCACTTGAAGGCGATGTATCATCCAATTATACCAGCTAGCCAATAGCAGAAGATTCATATCAGATGGGGATGCATAATTAATATCTAGTGTATTTACAATATAACCTAGGTACAAAGTGATTATATCAGGGCAAGAAACAGACCATTGTTATTGCTTGAAGTGACCTGTAAATATTAGGTCGTGGTGGGCATGGTAGTCATGGTGAAAAAAATATACTAACCAGACAGAAGGCTCTGCATGTGATATGTGCAGATTTGAACCAGGTTGAGCATAAAGCAAAAATGCATTAAGAATATTTCTTTCATTTAAAAACTTGAACAGGTCTGAGTACTTCTGAAATTAACTACTTGAGCTTTCTCACATCACTCAGTGCAGTGGATGAAGGTCCCATTCACTTCAGTGAGACCCCAAACAGTTTTTTCTGTAATGATCTTGCGTGTCAGATAAACATGAAGTATTTTGTGTCACAGTATCATGACCTAATGCAAGGGGGGGAAAAAAAAAGTAGTAAAAATTCTTGCTCACTGTGAGAATATTCATGACTGTCTCAATTCACGTTGTATGCCCTGGACATTTCAACGGCCAGCGTGATTTAAGAATGACTTAAAGCAACACATTATTTAAAAATGATGCCCATGGTACCTGAGATATACATCCATGCTGTAACTTGACATGTTTCTGTCTCCACTGCAGGAGAGAGCTTTGTTTGGTATCACTCCCATATGACATGGTTGGACGAACAATTCTGCCAAACATTCTTCAATGCAATTTTTTCCCTCCAAGGCAAAGGCTATACTGCAGTAGATATCACAGTAAAGGAAGTTGAGTCAAAGGATACCTCTCTTCACTACTGAAAGCAGCAGAAAGCCTTAGGAATGTACAGAGAAGACTAGCCCTTTATCTAGATATATCTAAAACCTCACTACTCCATTTAAGTCCAGGTTCTTGCTGTAATCAGTGGAAAAGGGTTGGCCTTTTGGTAGTGTGATTCAACCCATCCTCAAATATGGATCTCAAGTATATGGGATAATGGCTCTGTCACTGATTGCTTGCATTATGCAAAAGCCTGTGGCAACATTGTTTCAGAGGAAGAGCACCTTCATAGATAACAGGGCATCTGATTGACAAGGATAACAGACCTATATGATCTGTGAAGGTAGATTTAAAGAATCTAGCTTTTCTAACACTCTATGTTACTGTATGAAACTGTCTAGTTTCCTAACACTGTATGACTCCTGTTGGCTTTGAGTCAAGTACAACTACATAAACTCAAATGCTGCCACGAGCAAAAAAATATCCCCAACAAACATCCCCAAAACAAAAGCCCTAACATGCCATCCAATCAGCAAAGATGGAAGAAAAATGCATGGGAGGATTGGCAACAAGAAGTCTACAGCAATTACATTTGTTATATCTAGACAGAAGGAGAGAAGGAACTGTGAAAAAGTCACAATATTTCTCCTGCTTATTTGAAGTTGAGGATGGTCAAACTTTGTGGGAGGCATTTTGTTTCTGTTTAGTTTTGATTTCATTTATTTCTCCTCCTTCAATCTGAGACACCAGTTTGTTTCTGTTGATTGATGTGATTTGGCAGCAATTTACTGAGCATGAAACACCCAAACTGACAGTGCACAGCTCTGCACCTGGGCAAGGTGATGAAACCTAAGAGGCAGGTTTATAATACCTACATTCCTCTTTGGATGCTCATATCTACACTCCTGCAAAAAATTTATCATCTCAGCAAAAGCTTTAAGACAAGCTTATTACTCTTGTGTCATCTCATATTTTCCTGCCTTGGGAAATAAGGTGCGTGGTTCATATCTATTATTTCTCCTAGTTCCCAGATTAGATCATAGCATTGCTTTGTTTATTAACAGTTTTTCTACTTTGCCACATCTCTTCATCTCTTTTTGCCCTGCCCTTCAGCTATCCTTGAAACGGGGTGAGAAATAAGTTCTTCATCATGCCATTAGATATCTCAAAGGGCTGAAATCTGATACTTCTATCTAAAGACTTTTTTTGGCTCAATAAACTCCTCATGCTATGAAGTGTGGTATTTATATCAGGAAGGAGCATCCATCCCAAGTCCAGGAACACCACCTAAGTAAAGAGATGACTTTTGACTCTTTGTGAGTGTCATTAGAGAACAGCTGGTATTTTCTGGAGCCCTGGATACCTGTGAAGATTGCCTAATTAATGATGATAGTTTCTGACAAAGATCCAGGTGCTTAAATTAGGGGAACAAGTATCAAGAAGAGTGGCTCATCGTCCCTTCAAAACATGAAGGTATTTTGATATGCACAAGGTAGCATATAGAGCTTATAATATAGAGTAGAACCACCTACAGGATCTGCTGACTTTTGTTAGCTCATCTTTGTCCTGATATTATAGCTTTGGCTGTAATACATGTTTACAAGCCCATAGGATCATAAGAGCTCTTAATACAGACTCTTCCATGGAGGTACCAGAAGACAGAGCCTCACCTAGGCCTTCCATATTGCACCTCATTGTTCACCCCTTTCTGTGGCACCTAAGGACTCATCGCTATTCACCAGAGGGGAAGGCAGATGGTGAAGGATTTAAAAAAAAAAAAAAAAAAAAAAAAGGTTTCAAGTTTGATCACAAACATTAATTCCTATTTTGAATGCTGATTGGAACAGATGGTTTCAGTGAGAGCCAGCTCCAAAGATGACTGAAGACAATAGAAGGATTTCTGTTGGTACTGGTGAATGTTTCACTGCCTATGGAAAACTAGATCTTGATCTAACATCTGCATCTTCATTATGAGAGAACTTGGGGGAGAGGAGATCTTATGGGCCCATAGGAGTCTATACCTCTCATAGCCCCAGCTTTCCCAAATGAAGTTTTGATGCTCATAAACTTTTGTGATTAATACTGCTGGAAGTGTGGTTGTGGCAATAGCATGCATGATTTCTCTGAACAGGCAAGCAACACTTCTCATTCACTGTTGCTTGAGTAATTGGAAAAATCACTCATCCATTACTATTTTATGGCCACAGACACAATCGTCTCCTGAGCTGGCACCTCAGCTGGGGATGCTCCATTTCCATTTAATAGAATGAAAACCATGTGGCTATGAATCATCTGGTTCTGTCTCTGCCTCCTTAACAGGAGCACATTTGCTGTATTCGATCAGCTGTGCTAAAGTTCAAATTGATGGCAGGACTCACACCTCATTTCCACATGCAGAGGCTGTGAACTTTCTGAGGCTGCAAATGTTTCCTTAGCTGATTTCTTATGTTCTAGAAGCTGGTTTGTTTTTAGTTTAATTTTTTTTTTTTTTTTGACTGCCATTGTGTGGTAGATACTGTGCAGACAGACTAGGCACCATCACTCCCTAAAGCTTTTATTAATGGCACTTTTTCTTTCTGTCCAAGCTTTTTCTGCTACATTTATTATCACACACGCTTGGGTGTGTATGTATGCATTGGGAAGTCCATAAATCACTGTGGAACTCCAACTACATGCTAAGAGTGCAATTCCACAGTGCTTTAACTAATCTAAACCAGAGCTACAGCAGTCCCTCTCTCTTTTACTCACAGCTACATGTTCCTACCTTCATCTTTGAGCTGGTACTAGCAGATTTATTATAAAGGCTGATAGTTTGTGCAGTATCGCGTAGGGAGTTGGCTCAAGGAGCCAGTGCAAATAGAAAACAGTCACATCAGGCTGGATTTTGGCCCATTCCTTTCATTGAATCATGTCATCCTGTATTGACAATGCAAGCCAGTGAATCAGACCATGTGGGATTGATGACACTATGACAGCAACCCTGATTTAGAGCAGGTTAAAGTGCCCTGATGGCTTTCCTTCTATGTGTCTGGGGGTGAGCATGTCTGTTTGTGGATTCTTATTTCTAGATACACATGAGCAAAAATCTATAGAGCAGGAATTTCTAGGCCGTTACACACTGCACTGGGCTATAAAAGTGCTCTGAAAGATCCCAACTATGCAATGGTAAGTTTTTACAGGAGCAGCAAGATGACATCTCTCTGCAGGCAGACAGGCGCTGATCTGGTTCTAATCCTGACCTCCCTGAAGGTGCTGCTGGGTGAATACCTGAACACCACCAGTTATCCCGTGATTAACACTGCGTGGCTCATCAGGAGTAATTGTCTCGACTTTCAAGTCCACTCTGCTACTGGGGGGATGGACATAAGTGCTGTTCTTGTACAGGGGCTAGGGCTGGGTTAAGTGTGGAAAGGGGGAAGTGATGAGGCTAGTAGTGCGTATTTTTTTGTGGAGCAAGTACAGAGTGATAGAAGTGACTTTTTGAGTAATAAGCAGATGGGGGGATGGCTGAGATGAAGCAGAGATATTGGTGTGAAATGATAGAGAGATGTGCTAGGTAGTTGTGGCATGCATGTTAGCATCTAGCCAGGGAGGGCAAGGGATAGGCTAAAAGTATAGGAAATTAATAGAGGCTTTTCTTTTTTGGTGTTTCTGTTATTGCAAGTCCAGTGTACGCCACCAGTATTTTTAGGCGCTGCTGTTATCTGCAGTTCCGCTGCTGTAGCTCACAGTTGTTATACACACAAGTGTTCAAGGCCATGTAATTAATGCCATGAAAACTTCTCTACCAAGTGGATCCAGCACTTATAGTGATGTAGCAGAAACAAAGCTTGATACATCTTTTAATGGCATGGGAATAAGATGCCTTCACTGCTGGATAATAGAAGGTAAATTTCCTTCCAGCTGCTCATAGAAGTAGTGGCTACTAAAAGAGTAAAGTAGCAGTTCAGTCACCTTATCAGGTAATTATTTTCCTTTCTTATTTGTTGTGTTCTTCTTTTGTTCACTGAATTGCGTGTGTATTTTTTCTTTTTAACATTTTCCATCACAGTAAAATCGTATTCCTCTGCTAATATTGATTCAGCTTTCATTACAATTGCATTAGTTGTGCTATTATTGACATTATTTAACCTTTAACTACTGCCTTGTGACCACAGCTAAATGAGCATCTTTCTGTATGTTTACTCACTTTTCCAGCACTTTTCTCATATATTTCCCATATAATAAAAACTCTTTCCCTTGCTTTCTTTTAAGTTAGCAATGGTTGTGAATGCCAATAGTAAATTGTATTTTCTACATCTAAATAGTATTGAATTGTTCTTCGTGAGTGGGTGGTTTTTATCCCAATTTTGAATCATTTTGAATCATTTAACAATCAATATTGTGTAACTGATCTCAATTAATAACTGGAAAATAAGTAATCACTGAATAAACAAGTAAAAATCTCACTTTTTTTTACATGATATGTTGTATTACAGTTTGAATAAATACTTGGTGAATGTGCCAAAATATTTGACTGGGGAAAAGAAGCATTTCAGGAAGAATGATTTTAAATTTCTTAAGCAACTCATTTTTTCTTTCTCCTTTTGTCCCTGGAGGAAGTTTTGGATCATTTGAATCTTAGTGTAGTGCTCTTGGTTAACTTGAAATTCCATAGAGAGCACAGTGTTGGACATGTGCTGTGCTTCAAAGCCGCTCCAGTGAGCCTCTGCCTCGCTGGGGAATTGGAGCATGAGTGCATGTGCCATGACTCAAAAGATGGTGAACTATGCCTGGGTAGGGCAGAACCAGAGGAAAAACTGCTGGAGGTCCACAGGAGCTCTGACCTGCAAATCAGTCATCCAGCCCAAATATAGAACAAAAGACTAATCAAACAATCCAGTGTCTGATTCCCTTTAATATTTCCCTCAGGATAGCTGGCACTCTTGTTGGCAGGACAGTTTTACCCGTTAAAGCAAAAGTGTGATGGATTTACATCATAGAATCATTTGAATTGGAATGGATCTTTGATGGCCTTTTAGTCAAACTCCCCTGCAATGAACAGGGACCTCATAGCTCGATCAGGTGCTCAGAGTCTTGTTCGGCCTGACCTTGA